TATATATATATATATATATAGATAGTATTTTTTTTTATCTTGGACCTAAATATATACTTTAAGACTCATTCACAGTGGTGCATTGCCAATGTGCACTGACAATTTAGCAAGTAATGATAATATTTCCATAAATATCATTAGGAGATATTCGAAGTAATTCTGCATGCACATTTTTTTCTATGCTGGCACGCATATACTCCTAAAAATGCACAAGCATATATCCATTTTCCAATGCATCTAAAGTAAATAAGCAAACCAATGATTTTAGCAAAATGTCTGACAGCTTCACCATCTACTAATGATCAGCAACAAATCAGAGTTAAAACTGATCATGTGATAAAAGCAAGCTTTAAAAATGTTTTTAAAAATTAAAGCAGAGGCAAAGGCTAATGTGGCAGATACGTTCACGTAACAGCATACTTGCACATTATGGCACATTTAACTTACAAGTGTGCCTCCTCCTGTGCTGATTGAGGCTGTCAGTCAATGCCCTGTCCAACACTACCGATATCTCCTCCAGCGCTACTTTCATTCCCAATCATCCTCTTTGCTACTGGATGGCCTTTGCTAATGTAACTCCTGCGCACATGAACAGGAATTGCATTGTACCCACCACCTGGCTCCAAAGACATGAAAGGGGTTGATATCGGCTGCTAATGTTCCATTGTAAAATAAATGCACTTGTCCGGTGTTCAGTTAACCGGTTGCTTGCCGTTACATGAGAACGTACATTTGTGGTTGTTTTTGTTGTTTCCACTACCTGGCAAGATCAGAGTCCCTTCACTAACTTCTTCGTGTATCCAAAACCCAAGGGTTTGTTATAGCACAGACAGTTTTTAAATAGTGAGTGTTTCTAATTAAAGTGTGGAGTGGATCTGTTCTCAATTGTCCCCTGATTACCTCCTGAGACAGTGGCTCCTGAACAAAGGGAACTAAGTGCCTTGAGGTTATTTATCTCCTGTCTAAATTTGTTTTTGTTAACTCTCAAGATATGAATGCATAATTATGTTTTGACAAGGGATTATACTCATGGGTAGGTCTAATTTTAAAAAATACATGGTTTTTCTTGCATTGTTCTGCCTCTGAAATCAAAGCAACATTTTTAAATATCCTAGGTTACAGCATTCATGACAGTATGCTAAAAAATAAAAAAAAAAGGGAAAATAGCATTTTTGTTGTACTATGCCTCAGATGTAATGAAAGAGATCTTAAATGTACACTTTTTTTTATAGCTGCTCTGAAAGCCACAAGTCAACTAGTCAAAATTCCAAATGTACCTGTATCTTCCCGTTTGAGTAAAACTTCAGCAAGTATATGCTCATTGGCAAAAATATCCTGTTTGTAGATCTCCCATACTGCACTTGGCTGTTCCATCAGGCTGTCTAAGTCTTTATCACAGATGAAGCTAGGGTCATTGCCTAGAGCAAACTTCAGCGGTACAGGTATGCCTGCACCCTCATGTCCACTCTACATCCACTACTGAATGTGTTTTTTTGTCCTAATTACAATCACAAATGTGTTTACTAAAATACCAGTTAGCTATTTTAAAACAATAACTGCAGTCATTGTTTAGGCTATGGCTTAAAAGGAGAATTATGGGGTAAGTGAAAAACACTCATCCCCATAATTCAAGCTGACCTGTGACAATTAAACTGTGACATGTCAGCTCTATTGATTGGGAAGTGAGTGAACACATTCCGCCGATCGCTGACTTCATGATCATCTCCCTGCAGAGAGTGGTGACTGTCAGTCACCGCTACCTGCAGGGCCCCCCCCCCTATCCGATCCTCCAGCACTGACTGAAGGGACGGACAAGGGAGGGGGCGGGCACAGCTGGCTCAGCCTCTAGATAGGCAGAGCTTGCTGACAATCAGCCAGCGGGATGAATCTCGACAGTATTGCCGGGATCCGTCCCGGCTCCAGCGCTCTCAGTACATAGCGGGCAATAGCCCGCTATATACTGAGTTTTGGGTGACGGGAGGTCGTTGGTATATGTCCTCCTGTGCCCCTAAAGAGAACTATGGGGAAAAAAGGTCACCCCATAGTTCTCTTGTAATTATTTGGGTTTTAATATGTAAAAAAGTTTGTTTAAATATATTTTGCCAACAACTTTATTACGGACTTTTATTTTTAAAGCACAAACATGTGAGTTATTAGTTACCAGTCAGACAGTAATATATGTTTTAAGGAGACATAGGAGAAGAGAATTAGAAGAAGTAATATGCTGAACAGATGGATAGCCTGATAGATATAACGAGAGACATTTTAAAAGAAGGAATTTTACCTGTACACTGCCACTAAATGTGAGGGTCTTCCACAAAAAATCCACTTGGCCCACAAGAGGGGCGTGCTGTCTGTTGTTTTTAAAACCTATGGCTGTCATTTTTACATAACCATTTTTTATGTACTCTGCAAAACATATAATAAATCTAGTTATCAATTTGTTTGTAAATTGACCAAAAACACAGAACTTCAAATTATAAAAATACATAAATGTACACCAAAAATAAAATGAACAAAAGAAAAAAACGCCAAGCACCACTGTACTTTTTATAAAATATAGTTCTGTGCTCTAAGAGAAATAATAAAGGAGTGAATTAAAACAGTAAAATAATTAGTATGCTACAGCAGATTTGCTAAACCTGAATATAAAAGGAGTCAAAGGAATCTAATTGACAAATTTGAAATTATGTACCTAAAGGAAATTACTAGGGATGTCCCGATGCCACTTTTTCAGGCCCAAGTACAAGTACATCCCCTCATGTACTTGCCGATACCAATTACCGATACTTTTTCTTAAAGGGACAGGTGACTTTAAATGATATTACAGAAAAAAACGTTAAAGAAGTCACATATGTGACAAAAATGTTTACGATTCATATTCATTTTGCATTTGCCAAATATTCATTGTAAGCCCTCAGGGGCAGGGCCCTCCTTACCATCTTGTCTTGAATTGTGATTGTTATGTCTGCCCTATATTGTAAAGCGCTGCGCAAACTGTTGGCGCTATATAAATCCTCTATAATAATTCCATCATGAAAAATTTAAGTGTACATATAGCCAAAATAGTTATTTTTTGTTTTGGATAAGGTTGGGAAGGTAAAAATCCTTATTAGTAGGGATGCGCCGATACCGATACTAGTATCGGTGCCAATTATTTGGGCAAGTACTTCCGGTATCAGGAAGCCGGCTTCATGCTCCCTCATCACCTCATAACAAGGAGAACCAATCAAGAAGCCGGGCGCCGCGTCATTACACGGCGCCCGGTTTCCTGATTGGCCAGAAGCCGACTCCATGCTTTCTCGTCACCTAGTTTCTCGTCACGCATGGGGACAACTTCCATGTTAATCAGGAAGCCGGGAGGTGAGTGTTTACACGCCGCCTGGCTTATCAGGAAGCCAGGTGGTGATTCATTACACGCCGCCTGGTTTCCTAAATGGGACTTCCGCTATCGGTATTGGCGAGTACCGAAAAAAAATATTGTTACTGCTCCTCGATACCGAAATACCGGTATGGGTGCATCCCTACTTATTAGAATTTTTTTTGCTGTCAGAAAGTAAGAGAAAATGTCTCTAGACTAAGTCCCCGTTCACACCTGTGTGACTCACTGCGTGTTGCCAAATATGTATATGCGTGACAACAGAATTTTCATTGTTTTCGATAGGGTCTGTTCACACATGTGCATGCTGTGCATTGGAAAAAAGTACATACTGTATGTGTTCTATAGTAAAAATGACACTATGGGATTTCTATATTTGTTGATGTAGTCTCATTATGCTTAAATACCTTCAGCCGTTGTTCAGCATTGTAATAGCATGCATGCCCAGACATAATCCCTGAGACGTTTATGTGACAGTAGTGTTGTTGTCACAAGACGTCTGCTTAGTAGGGTCTAGCTAATTAGAATAAAGGGCAGCCTAGACTAACAAACAAAATCCAAAATGTAAATAACTATTAACCAGCCCATGCATTTGTTATGGTAGGTTGACTTGTTTGTATAAAAAATGTTTTGTGCATGTCAAGTTTCACATACACTTTACAATCTGACCACGCAATCTTTGTACTAGCAACAACAATATGGAATACTTGTTATTATGTGCGGTTATCCTATTATCCTCAAAGATGCACACTTGTTGCTGCCTTGGTTTGTTGTTACAATTTCTTGTCTGAAAATTTCAATAAACTATATTTCTGCAAAAAAACTATATGGAATACGAGGACCTTTTCTAAACTATGTAATCAAATTATTTCCTATTTTGAAGTTTCTTCTACTACATATTTGTTGGTAGCTGGAACTGGTGCTGGAAATGAGGACGTTAACTTGCATCTGTCATCATCTATGTGGCTTAACATAGGTTAATTGATGGTGGCTGTTTAGCGATACAAAGGCATATTTTGTAATTGCAGCACAGAAAACCACTGGGAACCTTCCCAAGGAGCAGGGAAACATTTTCCTCAAAAAGTGCAACCTAAGGTGTCCCTACAACGATAGTCACCCCTTTTTCACATGCTCCTGCACCAGAGGGGGAGACTGCACTGCCTGAAAGCAAAACAGGCTGCATGAGGAAGAGATGCCTCAAGAAATATCAATAGGCTGCTGGATATAATGTCGAGTATGTCTGAAAAATTAGAGGTCAAGCAGTCAGAGGAGCTAGCATTTGCTCGGTGTTTGGTGGGCCCCATAAAACAAGTGCCACAGGAATATAAGGTGGGGATGCACTCTGGAGTTATGCGCTTCATAGCCCGGTTCATTTCTCCTCCTACTCAGTCTGCCACACCTGCTACTATTTCTCTTCCCTATACACTGGGACCCCACCTCCAGGTACTTGTCACAACCTACCCATCCCCTTCAAACATTTTTCTACAACCAACCTCATTTGTTAGCTCCCCCACAAATTCTAGCTCCCCTACCCATATACCCAATACCCTTACCCTTCCCTATCTCTGTCACTATTTCTTACTCAATCCCTGCACCCTAGCTTCCACAATAAGACACCATGCAAGCCAGCACCACTATACCACAACAGTCACCACTCCCCTGCCAGTCCATCATCCCAAAATCTGTACCACTTACAACCACATTCTCCTTTTTCCTCTAACTGTATGAGTTTGTCTACCTTCCATGGATCAAAACTTAAAAAAAAAAACACCAGTACAGTACAACCTCTTGAAAGTGCACTCCATCTACCACCACCAGTGATGCTTTGCTACGTTTTTAAATGTTATGTTTCCCAAAGTTTAAGGCCTTTGGCAGCATTTAAAAGTAGATTGTTTTACTTACCTGTAAAATCTACAGTAAAGGGCACAGGATCTTAGTCTTAACCATGGGTTATACTACAAACTTGTGGTGATTGGACACTGGGGGGAAAAAAGCTGCAAAGAAAGCCCTAGGATAACCGCTCCCACTCCCAGCAAGCTTCAGGGAGATCAAAGGAACAGAAGGGAGGGACCTATGGCCTATACTGTGCTCCAAGAATTGTACAGGTAATCCAAAATCCTCTTTCTGAAATCGTACATGACAGGACACAGGATCTTTGTCTTAATCATGGGACATCTAGAAAGCAGTGCAACTCAGGTGTGGACAACACAGCAAACAAACACTAACAGGCCCATGTAACTACTGGTCAAGGAGAGCTTGACAAAATCAGAGAGCAGCTTGAAGAACCTTACTTCTCAAAACTGCCATCAGATGACTAATCAGTTTCATCAGTTAAGTAGTCAGCTTTCAGTTTGTGGTATTAGAAAATAATTTCTCATCCAACGCAGGCAAGCTTAGTGCTCAACCAAATCTGTAGTATCTAATAGAAACCAATATGTATTCTTGCTGTTCAAGAGCTCTCTTGCATCCCCCCTCAGTCCAAGTTAACTCAACAAATAACACTGAACTTCTAATAAAAAAAGGTCTAAAATGCTGCCCCAAACAGGGCTGTGTTGCATTACTTTTATTCAAACCGTGCTCAGAATCACAGGTCACCTTTACTCTAATTAAAGCATTCAGAAAAGAGAAAATAGTAGAATCTCCATAGTGTAAAACCACAACTTTATTTGATAAAAAATTGTTAAAAGCACTTACAATCCTAGGTGCTATACCAGTACCTGCTAAATTTGTCCTGTCTCCCTGACTCTCCTGGTCTTACCGAGAGTGAGGAGTGTATCCATCATACGTAATGATATGCGTGAACCAAGTGGGTTCACAGACACCAATAAAAACCAGTTAGGTTTTAATAAACTGCTAGAAGTTAAGCTCTGGCCTGTGCCTTACCACTGTTCCATCACTGTGATGGGCTTCCTAACCACTGTCAATTACAGAAGTGCTGGAGATTGTCTATGTTATTAACCACTGAGATCACTGTGCTATGGTTTTACAACCCATTGAACAACCAATGTTATAAATGGAAGTTTAAGCAAGAACATCTAAAAAGCAGGAAAAAAAAGATCTGGGAAGCATAAAACTTCTCCATGTGTGCCAGTAAGGGAATTATAGTCCTCTCTAATCCTACAGATTCCTGGGACAGGTTATCAGCTCATAAGATTAGTGGCTAAATAAAGTTACAATATTTTTTTTTGCACTGAACAAATATAACAAAACACTTGTATATGTATATTTAGCAAATTAAAGAGAGCCAGCAAGAAATGTTGTTATGGTTAACATACACTTGCAACAACATACTGAAAAGCATTGCAAGTGCATGAATCGTTAAAACATCATTAAAGTCATTAAACAAAATTGTCATATTTGCTTCCACATGCCAATTCACCATCGCTGGCCCTGCATCTTTGAATTTTTTGTCAATTTAGTCCCCATAAAACACCCCTGAATACATGTAGAGAATCACATTTCACATGCATTTCCTGTATGTCTTTGCCCACTTTTCATTCTGCCTTGCTAATATCTCCCATTGTGGTTACACATCTAGAACCATTGTGCTCATAAACTAGTACACGGTTATTTTCACTACTTCCTCACACCTCTACACCTCCTCCATAATGTACTGCCCACCTCTGTCCTTTGCCAGTCTCTCGTACAGCCTGGAGCTCAGCTGCATGTGACATATGGTGTAAGGCATTGCGGGAGATGACCTGGATTAAGACGACCCGGAAACACACAAAAAAAAAACCCAAAAATCCAGCAGCTGCTAATTAAATGAGGCAGAGATATGCAGTGTTACTTTTAAAAGTAAAATATTTTAGTGCACAATTACAAAGCCTTTTAATATATTACATGATGCTTGCTCTGAATATTCAGGCCGCATTCACACTTGGCGATTCGCAAATCGCGCGTTTGTCGCGCGATTTGCATTTTGCGCGATATCGCGCAAATGCTTGCATTGAGCAAGCTTGAATCGCGGCTAAATCCGCTCCAAAAAGGGTCCTGCTGTAGCGACGCACGACCCGCGACAGCAGGACCC